GCTGAAACTTAAATATCCTTCAGATATAGACGTTTGTATTTCACGGCCGCAAGTAACCTTCAACGATACATGCCAACGCTCTCACTAAATAGCTTTATGACCCATTGTTAACTCAAACTTGATACAATTGTTTACTATAACCGCATAAAGGTATAATGCAAACAAACAAAGTCCCAACCGGATAGCTGACAACTTAATTCACGAAATACTTTTTATTCATTCGCTTAAAATCAAGCAATTTCAAAATTCGCCTCATGATAAAGCCATAATTTTCTACATAATCAAAAACATTTTTATAAGCCATAATTATATGATTTAAATAAAAAATTATTTAAAATTTTGAAAATATTTCTGTCCGTAAGACCTTTAGCATTTGTTTCAAACTTTTAGTAAACCCTTTTTTTGGGAATTTTTACGAGCGCATTTTCAAAGGGAGGAGGACTACATCCTGTATGGCTTTAACAAGCAAAAAGATAGACAAAGGCATGGACGGACGACTGAATAGATCATAATCAGGGGAAATCAAACTTTTATGGAGATTTTAGATATGCATCAATAAACCGGGAAATTTTTTTAGTTAAAAGCGAAAAGACTCTAATGTTATCCATACTGATATCCGAAGGAGTTCTTTAAAAAAGATTTCTCTAAGAGAAGAGACTATACAGGACTTCAAAAAAAGGTGCGTTTGCTTATATCCTCAAAAATCTTTATTTATTTTTTCGAATCAATTTCGCACGCATTTTCATCCCTTTCATAACACACAAGAAATATTCCTTATCACGATACGAATTCAATACCGCTATAATCGAAGAAAACTGCTCATATCATTTTGATTTTTGAACCACTTTGGCGAGGTTTTTTCAGTGTTGGCTCACCTTTTTGCATGCTATTCGTCTGATTGATCGGTTGTTTCCAGTTCGTATGCATAGATCCAAGTCTTCTTTCATTCCATTTCGCCAATCAAAATTTAATGCAACTTCTTTGCTCAACAAAGTCACGCATTCTACAATCCGGAAGAAATACTTCCTATGTCGCACAAAACCAAACGCAGATGAAACACTAGTGATGTTTATGATGATTTATGGTCTGTTTTGTGTGATTGGTATATCATAGTGCTGTCATTTAGAAAATAAATATTTCTGCGATTCGATATAACTGCGCAATTGAACTTAAATATTGGTCTTACTTTTTGGGCAGAGTGTTGTACAGAAAGTATGTGCATCCAATAAGACTTCTTCTTTTTACAATCTACACTGCCATTGACATTTTAGTTTAACAAAGTGGAACCTTGTAATATGCAGGACACAAGGTCCAAGAACGTTTGTCTTCTCTATTCGTTCTACTTGCTGTTCTTCATCATAAAATTCACGTGACACTGAAGGAGTTTGAATATTTAACAATTATGAGTCGAAACTTGCCCAGTGCCATCTTTATAAGGAAAAGCTCACCGCATTAATTTTGTACAGGTAAAGAGGTTTTTGAAGAGGTAAAGAAGCCAACAAACTCTGACCTGCACTCATACAATAATTCTGCTCTTTCGCCGGATTTGTGGCGTGTTGCTGGGGCTTGGTGAAACCAGCAATTATACCTCTACTTCAGAGTCGACGTCGTGAACCTAAATAATGCTTTACTGTCAAATGCAATCATCGTGAAACGTTCTCAGATTGAAACATCGGGAAAAACTACGATAAATGGCGCAATATAATCTCAGAAAAAGGGACAAAAACTAGAGTCGGAAAATATCATCTGTCTTAGGTTAAAAGGATGTACAAAGAAAATGCGAACGAACGCATAGTTTTTTTAATTCACAATAATCTAAACGAAAGGATGGGCTTATGGAAATTCGAGTATTATTACTCTACAATGAGCATTGACTCACTGCAAACTTCAAATCATCAAACTAATGTACTCCAGGGAAACGAAGTAAATAAATAAAAGAGAAAATCAAAAGAGAGGAAAAACAAAAACTTAAAAACGACAACTTTTTTATATGAAGACTTAAAAGCGCTCTAAACTCGTAAATATTCCTCTATTTAACACTTTTATTTATTACTAATAAAATAATAAGACTCAAGGCTTGAACGCCTACACTATATATTTGGCAGTAAAGAGCGATAAGTGCAAATGCATTGTGCATGTTGAAGACAAAATTAGCGGCAAATGAATTTTACCACTTATTTATGTCACGACACATCGATATCAATTATTTTCACATACTATAAGTGATTGTTTATTGATCTCATGCTTAATTAAGAATTTGCTTTTATTTTATTTCTCAACTTTAAGCTATAAATAAAAAGCTCAACGTTTCGATGTTAAAAACTATTAAAAAAAAAAAAAGAAAAAAATTCACCTCTGACCCTCTTCATCACTCATTGCTGCACCCCAAACGACGAAACGAAGAAAGAAAGCAATCGATTATATATGTGAATTGTATTATACAAGTGTTTGAAAATTTTATAGATTTTCATGATAATAATTTTCCTTATAATGTATTCTTTTGCGGCAATCAACCACCAGGTACGTGATTAGGAGGATGCTGCCATACAATTATTTGCCTGCACTTGTTACCTTTGCGTACATTTCATTTCTCATTTCAACATTTTATTATTTATTTCACATATGAACATAAGCACAAACAAACAAACAAACAACATTTTAGAAATGCTTTAGAATCGTAAGCAAGTCAGTCTGTCTGACAGTAGTCGCTCGAAATACATTTATCATTTTTAGTGGCTTGTGCTCGAAACGTGGGAAAAACTTTGCTCTGATGAAAATTTTTCATCAAAATGTGGATATTTGATATTTTTCTCTTACTCTTCTTGCGAAATTTTATTAAGGACTAAAAAATGATTGCTGCGAAAACGTTTCATACATTAACTTAAATAAACTATGCCGCCTGTAGCTGATACCACAAGTATATAAATTGCTAGCTAATCAAAAAAAAAAAAAAAAATAATAATAAAAAAGTTTTATATTTGAATTGCATCGACTGTTGCAATACCTGACACATATTTGGTCTTGTTTTCATAACTAACCTAAATGCTAACTTTTGCAAAAAAATGGCATTCACCCTATGCGTAATATCTTCTCGATTAACATAACTAACCTGATTGATGCTAAGCTTTTCTGTCCAATGGAGATCTCAAAACATTTTCTGAGATTTTTCAAGATTAAGTGTACATCGTAACACGGTTTCGATTTCTCGCTTATAAGCATTTATTTTTTCTATCATTATATACCTAAAAAGTGCTGCCAAATTGTATAAAATTATAGTTGAAGACATTTACAATATAGGATAGTAGTAGTACTGCTTAGTCAAGTGATTAAGAAGCGTGACCATAAAGTTGGCGCACGCGGGCGTAAGCCTCGGTGCGCTGAATGATGCTCTAAATATATATAATTATGTACATAAAAAGTGTTGCCAAACTCTGTAAAAACGTGTTAATTACGACTGGTATGGCCAGTGGTGGTCGTGGCTATAGGGAACGCTCGGTCCGCAAGGTCGTAAAACTTGTCGATGGAGCCCACAGGCTACGTTGACTTCCCATTTTGTTCTGATCCGTTACACATGTATAGTTACACATGTATAGGCGCCCTTCCCTTGAGTGATTTGTTTTAAAAAGGAGAGTTTTCGAATACTTTCGCAGAACAACGGTGCGGTACGGTACGTACAGCACTTATGATGCAAGAGCTTATTAAGTGTTTGTGCGGATGTAAATAATACCCGGAAGGACTTGGAGTAAACCTACTTTTTATTACGCCGATCGATTCAGAATCAACTTCCGAATCTGAATATGCACTTGTCTGTCCGTTTGTCCATCTTCTTTTCTTTTATTCAACCCACAGGCCGCAAATTTCTGAGATATTTTTTGGAAATTTGCTGCACTGACATGTTCTGTCCGAAGGACAAAAATAGCTAAAAATGGTTCGGATTGGACCAGTATTTCCAACACTTTTTCTATAATGCCTTATCTCGAAAAGTCATCATATGAATAGCTGCAGGATGGTATAAAGCATTTAAAGATGACCGCGTCCTACTATAGTGTTTTTCGTTGTTTGCAAATAAAACAGCTGCGTCCCAGCAGACAGTAAAGCAAATATTTGTATGAAATTTGCAACTGAACATATGACAAAAAGGAGAAATTTAAAATTTTCCGTAAAATTTGGTTTTCCATAAGCACAATAATTTTCATGAAATTTATTTTGTATAAGCGGGAAAACCTTTGAGTTAATCATAAAGAAAAAGAATTCGGTCCTAATCTGGATAAAATAAAATGAAACCACGTCTCAGGTACAGAATATGAAGTGAAAAGAAGAATATTTTAACATTCATTGCGTTCAGTACAAAATTTCACTTTATCGTGTAAAGATCGAAAAATTGCATTTAGCGCTAGCGAACGTTAACTGAGCCGAATAAATTTGAAGTAAATTCAAGCAAATTGCTCATCATATCTCATTAGTGTAAAATTGAAAGTGTTCATAGCGGACCAGCACTAATTTAATCAAAATTGAATAATCTTTGGAAAAAACCATAGCAAAATGTCAAAGTCGTAAGTAATGCATTGATTCATTAGCCATGGAGCATAGTTTGACTTAATACGCGTTTCCATAGTGTGCGAACCAACCACATTTCAGATTTTATTCATTCATTACGAGCTTAACACATATTAACTGCATTATACGCATGCAAAATGTAATTTGTTATCTCATATGTCAGCCATTTTTCGCCATAATTTCGATCCATGGACCTTAGACAGCTACACTGGTTAATGACCCCATTAAACAATCTTTTTACACCGGAGCTACAATCAATCTTGTGCACCCACCAATTCGCTCATATCTCTCTGTAACTTTTGCTAACTCTGACTGTGCTATAGCTTGTGTGTGGATTTGTCCTAAATCCAAAAGACGGCATCATCTATATCGTTCGCTATCTGACATGGATAGAACGACTCATTTTATATCTTCAGTATATTCTCATTTTATTTTCCCTTTAGGAACGAGAAATGTGGACTCGTAGGCGAACCAATTGATTCGGAGATGTTCCACAATTCAGGTTGCGATACCACTTTAAAAAACTTAGGCGAAGCTACACAAACAGGGATTGCGGAAACTAATGTAAGTGTACATCTGCCGATAAACTATTTCTTTAGAATACGCCTAAGAAAGCTGTATAATTGCTTAGGTTTGCTTTCGCAAGCAAAAGAAAGTGCGATCAATCAAAAAGAAATTTTTTCGGATTTTAGGCAACCTCTGTATATAAAATGCTTTACTGAGAAAGACATCTATGATAAAGTTTGTTAAAACTTTGCCCTTTGCATATACACACACACACACACACACCCTTTTTTTTCTTCAGACTAGCATATGTTAATATATTTTTCATTTCAGGATGTAATGGATACTTTCTCGGATATACGGGACGAGAATAGCACCTCGTTACCTGCATTACCCAATGAAATATGGCTTAGAATATTTAGCAATCTCTCGCATGGAGATTTACTGCAAGTCAAGTTAGTTTGCAAATACTGGTTTGAACTGGCTCAAGCACCCCAGCTGCAACGTAAGTCGAAGTTGGTGATCACTACACAAAATTTGAAGAATGTTTGCGATTTTATAAAACATCAAGATTTCAAACGTGAAAGTGTAGTGATAGACGAGGAAGGCAGAGGATTCAGTAGCGAGGATCGCGAAATTTTATTAACAGTCTTCAAACATTTGGGATCTGATGTTGTGCGACTAAAAGTTTACGAGCTCTCATCTCTCTCAATGCTTAGCAGTCTTTTGCCGAATCTCGAGGAATTGAATTTGCTTGACATATACTCACAAAAGAGTGTATCGGTGAACTTTAACCAATTTCCTAACCTCAAATCATTGTTAATGGATGGGGATGGTGATGGCAAAACACAAATGCAATTGTTCTCAAGTTTCTATCAAATGTCTGGTATACGTTTGGAAGCACTGACCTTAAATATTGGTCGTTTTGCTGCTAGTTGCTTGGCTGCGCTAGCTTCGCATGCATCTTCGTTGCGTTGGCTCAACTTCAAGATTGATTTTGATATAAGTAGAGATGTGATATTGCAACCACAGTTGGAAGAAACCCTTAAAAACTTCACTCAATTGGAGGTATTGCATATAAAGTGTCATAGTGGTGCAACTGCAAGAGCCATTTTAGAAAACCTTCCCAAGGGAAATCGCCTTAAAACGATTGCTTTAGATTTTCCCTATAGAGATGATAACGACGTGCTAGAAGTAATTGCACAAAAATGGTTTCACTCTTTACAACGTTTAGAACTTGCGCACTACTCCGTAACGGAAAACTCAGCCAAATGGCTAAATTCCTTGAGCGGTAAATTGAATCGTTTGTATTTGTGTGAGTGCGAATATGTCCCTGAATGCCTCGTTAATAGTATAGCCCCAAAAACTAACAAAAAACTAACTGAATTGAAGTTGGTGAACTCGAATTTAACGCCAAAATTATTCTGCGACCTGTTCCAACGTCTACCTAATTTGACAACACTTGATTTTAGCTGTAATCAGATAACCGATTTGGAAATGAATTATCTTTTCCGCCATCTCGTACATTTGCGCCACCTTTTCCTAGATGCATGCAAGAGCGAAAATGTGATAAAACAATGCTGCTCCACGCCTAACATAAGTAACTTGAAAAACCTTCAAACACTTCAATCATGTTTGTGCCCCATCAAAGTCCTCGAGATTTCGAACTTGGATTTTAAATTTAAAGAACTAACCAAACTTTATTTATCTCCTTGTTCGAGAAGCAAAAATCCGCCCGCTACGACACTTGTAGATATCAGCAAATATTTCCCTGCTCTCGAAGAGTTCTGCTTTTATAATGTGATTATCCGCCACACCAGTATTCTATCTAAGCCTCTCTGTTTTCCCCGTTTATGCCGATTAAACGGCCAAAGACTTTATTAAACTAACTGATTGAAATTATAAAAAAAAAGAAGGTAAGAAAAAAATAAAAAATGTATGTAAAAAGTATCTGCTCTTTGCCAATAAAATAATAAGTGATTTATTAATAAACAGAATGCAAAGTCGAATGATTTTTATTCGATTCACACACACACACCATATAATGCGAATTATTGTCAAATGATTGTAACTCGGAAGTCCCTTTACCGAATGACAGCTAAGCATGATCCCTCGACTGACCTGGAGCTTATAAAACTCTATAATTCAGTAAACAGAACCCTTTCGTATGGTGAAGGGTTCGAATTCGATCAAAGTATAATGTATTGTGGCAGTCAAGTGAATTAAGTTGTCTAAAGAAAAAGGGATGAATCTTGGTGATGTAACGATGCTGCATTAAAATGACATAATGTAAATACAAAATCCACACCTCCAGAAATGCGTGCATACGTTAACGTTGGGGTTTTGAAATATGGTTTTCTACTCTACGACGATTCGGTTTAGGTATATTAAGCTTGTGCGGATGTGGGCACACGAGAGAGTTCAATTTTTTATTATCGCACTCAACTGAAAATTATTTCGCCTATAACATGATCTCGGCTCGTTCCATGTTATATATAGAACCGTTTCGTACGAGTCACGTAGATTATACCAAACCAATTTGTATGGCCGTTGAATAATAGATGCCTTTGTTGTTTTTACACAGAATGTATAAAAATTTATTAATACGTATTGTCCACCTTTTTTTTATAAATTTAGCCCTTACATAACTTTCTCACAATGCTTCTGTCACGTTGTACGAACACGTTATATATATATACATATATATATATATATATATATATATAGAGTGGTCTACTATATCTTTCGTTGTAATTGTCTAAAGTCTATTCATATATTTCTGGGTTCAACTTAAATAATAAATCTGCTTGGGCACAATGATGCAACCTATTGGAAATAGGTTGGAACCATTCCGTTTTACAATTACTTCATCTATGGCGGGATATTTGAAAAAAGTCGTTATATGAAAATATTTTATAATATTTCTTGGTAAATTTTGATCAAAGTACATTAAATGAATATAGAATATGTCGGCAAACCGGGACCGCTCTATGAATTTCTCCTATGTAAGCATTCTTATATTGCCTAATTTTTAGCATAGAATGTATTTGAATTATAAGTCTACTTGCGTCATTGTGATATTTGGGTATCTAGTTTTCTTTGCTTTCGATATAAGGGCTCTCATGGAAAGTAAGTCTTCATACATTCCCCTTTCTTTTTTTTTTAATATGACCGACCTCTCACTCAGGAGATGTTGCTCCACACGTGCAACGCAGCAATAGGTTAAATAAACCAAAAATCATAATAGAAGAAAGGGTATAGCGTATCCAATTGCCGAGGTTGCCCGATTATAATCCTATTGAAATTTGTTCTCGTATACATAAGTCTATTGAAAACTTTTGTAGCACTGGAAAGACTGAAACAAAAGCAGTGAAAATGTCTGCCTTGGGCAAGATGGTATAACACATACATTTACAAGTTAAAAAAGAGGCAAGGGGATGTAAACGGAACCATTAATAAATGCATTTATTTTAGGCATAAAATGTCACAACATTCTAAAAAATTGTATCATTATAAATATAATTTTTTTATCTAATTCAAAGTAAAAAGCAGTCAAAATAACTTCGGTGGGCGATCTAGTGTTAAATCTGAAAGTGAATTTATTATGAAAAGTAAGTTTAAAATTTTTAATGCAAGGAAATGTGTACCAGTAGTAAGCGCTTCGATACCAATCTTGCATATTCACTTACTTAAGCGAATACCTCTAAAATATTTGGCTAATTATTCAGACTTTAGTTGAACGAAAACCGCAATCGTTACAGGAAACTCTTGAGCGTAGCAAATTTACGAAATTTAAAATACGAAAGCTATAAGGTATCATTTATCTATTTCCATTTATTTGTTTATGCCTGTTATCGGCCTGGATAAGTACATTCCATACATTAATTTATGAGCATCAAGGAATCAACTTAGGTTTCCCTTTTCTATATGAAACTTTTGAAATCGGGAGTTTTAACAATAGACAATAGATGGATGGACGGACGGCAAGAATCATGGATTTTTGTGCAGAACCTTATGATGGTCAGTAGTATATGTAAATCTTACAAGGTATGCGATGCATATTTTTGGAGGCAACACACAAATTCATTAGTCTCAATACAAATACACTAGCGTACAGTATGTCATGCACTGCATAACTCATAAAATGCTTTTATATCTCTATACTTTTTAGAGATGAATAACAATAACAAGGTAAACCATTTCTACACTAGTGACAGTAAGTTCCCCAATAATATATATATATATATATGTATATATATAAAAACTGAAATGCTAAATAGTTTTGACCACGTTCTGCGTGAAGACCACACCTGTTGTCTTGCGAAAATTTCTCCAAAACCAAATCATTTTTTTTAAGATTTTACGACTGCATCGAGTATAAATGTGACAACACAATCTTTATTAACCGAGTGTGCATACAGGGGTCAATATTTTGCTAATTTTAGGGTAAAATTTATTTGCATTTTCATTGTTCACGACGACTTACAGTAATTGGGTAATAATGCCTGTATTTCCTGTCAAGTTATAAACAACCAACGGTTCGCTAAACATTCATTCAATGCGTCGCTTTTGTTGAACGTTGCCTTTTCTCAATACGCATATTCCTTAAGCGCAATTTATGTGTAACCAACGCAACTAATTTGACTCATTGGAAACGCATAATTTTCAAAAACCTATTAAAGCATAATTTCGCATGTAACTATAAACCAATGAATGAATGAACGTACAGTTGACATCAATAACGAAATGTTGTGTCAATAGCGATCGCGTAATAGATATTCGAATATTACTTAATTTTCTTGCACAACAACTCTCATACAGAAATTTTAATGTTATAAAACATAATTTACAAATTTTTCCGTTTCGCCGGCTTATTACATAACTGAATGCGTTAAAAGCAAGCGTATTTTTCTTTTCCCATTTTTGAATTCTTTTGAGTTGATCAATTTGTGTGCCCTGACTGCTTGGGTGCGGCTCTTCGGGGAGTACTCGTGGTGGTTGTGGTTGGCTGTTCCAAGCCAAAGTGGAACAATCGAGTGCAGCTAGGCCTCATCACTGACCGAAGTGGGATTTATTGATCCATACGCAATAAACTGTCTGGACTCTGCTGCTACTTAGGCCCCTACTCTGTAGGGATTGTCTAACTCGCCAGGGAGCGTATATTACGCTTAAAGTGTCTTGGGCCACCGTGGGGTTAAGCCATCATGGCAGGAAGCCACGTTAAACCCAGGTTACAATCATTCAAGCAATTGCCAATTACGAAAAAGTTGTAGGTGTCGTCTATAACGCTAGCTTAGGAACAAAGAAAGAAATCAGTAAGAAATTATGTTAAGTACGCAATATATTCTAATACTCATTACTAATGTGGGAATCAAAGGTCAACTTGTTTGCAAGAGTTTCTACACTCAGCCGCAGGATGTTTTAAGTTAAGGTGATAGCGTGTACGAATTCACACTTGGTTACGTTGCAAATATAATCATGAAAGGATTTACTATTGATAGAATTTGATATGAACAGTAAATGAGGTTTTTATAAACACCTTCGCAGCCTTTGTATATTACTGACAATTACGCATCGGAGGCTTTATAAACATAATACCCTCACCAAAGAGTAAGATGGATTCAAGTTAAATTGCGCGGATATATCAGAATATCGGAAATATTTTTTTTGCTGCGTCAAATTTCACATCATAAACGTCATTAATCAATAGGGTTTGAGGTGCGCTCGGTTTTGTACGATGCAAAAAATATTTTTTGTTCGTGGCTATTGCGGGAGATGAGAATTAGAAATATGGATATGACACGGAAACACCCGATCAATGAGACGAATATTGTGCATAAGTTGAGTCAAGACCGAAAAACCCGCACCAAAGTCACTCAACAATCAAAGTGACAGTAACGGTTTTTTTTATACTCCTTCCGTCTGGCCAACCTGTTAACAAACAACATTATTTGAGTTGAGGGTTATTTTGGACGCGATAGAATACACTAGAAATAAGAAATAGATTTAAAAATTAAAAAATAAATTGGTCTTACTTCTTGGACACAGGCATTTAAATATTTATATTCCATTTGGGAAACTATGGCAAACTACTCCCCTCTCCATAAATTTTACGCAACCATGTAAGTCAGCCGGGAGCAATGTATAAAGTGTACGTTTTAAGAGATGTAAATAAGTGAAGCTTGCTATTTTTACTGCTTAAATCGAAAAGCATGCTATTGTGATTGCTGGCGGGTGTTGAAAAACAAACGCTGTACAATATCGAAAAAAAAAATTAATCGAGCAAAAACGGTTCCATTAACAGCGACAGAGTATATTTGGCCCTTCAACTTAAGGAGATTAGTTGTGTTATAATATGCTGCAAATTCACGAAATCATTGTTAGGGAAAGG